TATTCTTCTTTGCATCATCTAGGAGTTGTTGGATCGATTTCTCATGATCTCTTACTGTTTTTAAGAGACCTCTCTTTTCATGGTCACTGACTGCAATCTTCTATATCTGAGAGTCTGTCTTCGCATTCTGTTGCGTAAACTTTCAATAGAGTGTTTAATCTCCTGGATATCTGTTTGAATCTGTTTTATGGATTCCATTTCTTTCCTATGTTGGGCGTTTATTGTTTCCATTTCTTTCTTATGCTGGGCCTTCATGGCTTCTATCATGGTCCTGAGCTCATCTATTTTTCTGTCAATTTCTGCTCTAGAGTCTCGAATCACGACTTCCATTTTGCTCACTGTCTCTATGGTTATCTGGGAAATTATTTCTGTTTTGAATTTTTCTAGAGCCTGATTGATCTGTTTTGTTACTTCCTGTGCTTTGAGTTCAGGGTGTCCTGGCGGTTCACCATCGGCCTTTTCATCCTCATTTGCCCTACTGTTTGCCATTGGTGAACTGGAAGTCTGTCCTTGTGTCTTGCTTAAGTGTTTTCTCATTTTAATTTTTGTTGTCGGACTGTCCTTGGTTTAATCTCTGGATTATCACCCAAATCTTCCTGATATAGTTGCACCCTAGCTTCTGTGTCTCTAACGACCCACAGACATTCTCATCTTCATAACATCAGAGAAAACAGCTCATCAAATCAACGGCAATGCTTTACCCCAACTGATACAATCAGCAACACATTAAGATCAAGCACAACTTGGACACTGACCACCTGTGGTAGTCACTAGTCTATCACCCTTAAATCATTTGAATTAAATTGAAATCAAGAAGCAGTCCAGAACATGTCTGCAGTGAACAAACTTTTCAATATAGTATATTTACCATTTAATGGCTCAGACAGAGCGAGGATGCAAGACCCCTGATCTCAGTTAGCTGATTGCAGAACCCCATGACGCTGACTGACCTCGGGCTGCAAGGTCCAGATTGAGTTCCCCAACCTTCTGAATGGTTGAACTCCACACCGTTCTACTATAGGTTTCCCACGCCCTTTCTTTAAAGATGTTCAATGTTGGGAACTCAGAAAAATACCCTTGATGACCACCTCTGCCTCTGCAGAGTGGGTCCAAAAAACTGGCACAGTCAGGAGGACTGAGAGTGCGGGTGGGGGTTATGGGGGTTCAGGGGCACCCGCATGGCTACCTTCCTGGCGCTTGAGTGATGGCGGCTGGGTCGGGAGCAGGCGTGGTTCTCCTTTGTTTTTGCTTTTTGAATTGAGAAGAAACGCTGGTCTCCTGTGTTCATCACCAGATTTAGGAAGCTGTTCTGTTTACAGTTTAGTTCCCCTTTTTTCACCTTCGCTACATTCTTTCCAGTGTTCTCCATGGTCATCCCAGGGCCTCTTGCCTGTTTTGTGTGTGTGTGTGTGTGGTACCAGGGATCAAACTTGTGAGGCAGGCGCGTTGCCACTGAGCTGAATCCTGGCCCACTTGCCTGTATTTTAGACTAGAGTTTTCCTGGGTTCCACTTCACCTGTCAGGCAAGCGCCCATCTAGAATTAGAGTAGATTGTAATGTCTTGTTCTTTAATGGTCTCTTTTCCAGTCTGTCACATATTTATTCCATTGTGCATTTTAATATTTTTATATCCAAGGGCCCTGAGATGGGGTAGGAGATAACTGGGATCTTCAAGCTGTTCTAATAATTCAATGAGAATGCATGTGAATTGGTTTCTGTTCTTTTCTGCCAGGATGTCTTCATATTTTGCCAGCCGTCACAGAAAGGATTTAAGTACTGAGATGATCAGAACTAAAATTGCTCACAGGAAATCGCTGTCTCAAAAAGAAAACCGATATAAGGAATATGAACGAAACAGACACTTCGGTTTGAAAGATGTCAACATTCCTCCCTTGCAGAGTAAAACTTGTGTTGAATTAGATGAGACGTCTCAGGAACTTGTTCAGAAGGCCAGTGTCAAGCCAAGTAAGTCCGAGCCTGCCACCATCTTAAGTGCTGTACTTTTCAGAATAAAAGTTGGTGTAATGCCTGTGGGTGTGGGAGTGAATTTGACCAAAGAATAGTTTTTAAATATCCTCCTAAGTGAGTTGGTGCATCCTGTCCACGTCGAGGCTGTATGGCTAGCCAGGCCAAAGCCGGTCCCTGTGGATTATTACACCATTTTATCATCTGCATTGGCTTGTAGAAAAGCTGACATTCTTCTGGAGCTTGGTTAAGATAAGTGTTGACAAGATAAATTGATAAGCCTAAAACTGGAATGATTGAAGAATTAGTGAAATAGGACACTTTGTCATACTGCTGCTCACTAAATTCCTTCTTAGGAGGAACAGCAGTGGGTCAGCCCACCTCTCCCCTCAACACCCAGGTGTCCTCCACCCCAGGCTGGAGCGGGATTGGCTTTGTCCCATAAACTCCAGGATTGGGGGCGGGGGTCTTCCCTGTACACTGTGGGCTAAGTAGTTCCTTCTGCCTTTAGATGCAAGACACCAATTTTGGGACAAGGGAAAATACTTCGTTCCAGGGGTGTTAGGCATTTGCAGGCCCCGTCTGCAGCTCAGGGCCTCCTCTGAAGCTCTCTTGAGCTGGGTGTAGTGGCGCACACTTGTGATCTCTGCCCCGGAGGCTGAGGTAGGAGGAAAGCTTCCAGTTGGAGCCCCACCTGGGCTACAGGGTGAGACCCTGTCCCCAAACCAAAGCAAACAAAAAAACCAAACCAAAACGACACAGGGAACTTGTGCTAAGCCTTCTGGGTGTTTTCAAACCTCGGCTGTTACATGTTTCTGCTATTTACTGAGGCTTTATCAGGAGTCCAGTGATCTTATCTGTCATTTCAGAGTCACCACTAGATCTCACTGTAGTTCAGGCTGACTTTGAACTCAAAATGATCCCTTTGCCTCAGTGCTGGCAGAATTTTTATTTTTTATTTACTTATTTTAAAAACAATTTTTTTTGGAGGGGTACTGGCTGTTGAACTCAGGACCTTGTGCTTACCAGGCAGGCACAGCACCACTGAGCTACATCCCCAGCCTCCAGCTGAATTTTAAAAATTTAAAACAATTAATGAAAAAAAAAAGGTGGGGGAGGGAATAAGGGAAAAGAAAAAAATTATAAGAAAATGATAAAAATGTAAATAAAGTGTTTGTAAATGGAGAGGGGAGGAGGAGGTGAGGGGAGGGCAGGGACAAGGGGAAAAAATGAGCATCAAGACCTGTCATGTAAAGGTACAAGATCCCAGTAATGAGTGTAACTATATTGTATACCTAGAATGTACCAATAAACTCAATAAAAAGAAAAAATAAAAAGAATACTTTGCCAGCAGAAATATTACTGTACTTAGAGAAAAGCACAAAGAATTCATACAATTTGCCAATTAGGAAGTATTTAAAAAAAAAAAAAGAAAGAAGGATAGCGCCAGATAAAGAGAAGTAAGGAGTCAAACCGGGCATGGTAGTGAATACTCGCAGTCCCACCTCTGGGGAGGCTGAGGCAGGAGGGTTGCCACCAATTCCAGGCTAATCTGAATGATAGACCTTGTCTCAAAAAAAAAAAATAATAATAATAATAACAATAATATGCTAATAAGCACCCTAACCTGGGCATCATGGCCTCTGCAGGGTTTTGTTTGTTTTCCTCCTGCCCTTGTGTCCTTGTCAGGGCCTTGTCTGTTGGATTTGTAGGTTGGGAGGAGTCTTACAGACAAGGTCACTTGGAGCTAGTGATTGTAGGGGATGCATGTGTGTCTGGTGTGACAATATAGTGGCCCCAGAGTACACAGATACATTTTCCTTTACGTTAGTAGCCTTTCTCACCCTTCTGTCTCCTTTCCGTTTTACTGGAGGTGAGGAGGGGCTGGTATTACTAATTGCTCCCTCCAGTAAAGTTTTAACTGTTTCCAGTCAGGATCAGGCAGAAGCCCTAATGAGGCCCTTGTTCTCTTCTTGTCCATGCCTACAGGCCCCTCTTCCCTGCAGTAGGAAGCTGTTAATAACATGTGAGCAAGCCAAGGCGCACACAAGGCAGGGGCATTTTTAATAACCTGTGGCTAGAAGGTGCTATGGGCACTCCGTAGCAGCACGTGAAGTCAGTCAGAAATGGTCTTGTGGGTCTCTGTGTGCCTTTTTACCTAAAATGTTTATGCACTGTGTTGTTTCGCTTTCTCCTTCCTGCTTAGAGTCTGTGAAAACTATTCTAAGTGATCAACGCAAACAAATGCTCCAGAAATACAAAGAGGAAAAGCAGCTTCAAAAGCTGAAAGAGCAGAGAGAGAAAGCTAAACGAGGAGTGTTTAAAGTGGGCCTTTACAGGCCTGACGTCCCTTCCTTCTTTTCATCAACGCAGAATGTTAGGAAAGCTGAGCCAAAAAAGGTAAATTTACGATTTTCACTTGGTATGGAAGAATAAGTTCCTTTTCATCTGGAATTTTCTTTCAGAAATCAAATGACTGAAATCAGCCCTCCGCCTTAGTCCTTTATTTATTCACATGACCATTTGGTAGGAAGTGGGAATGGCATCACAGCAGCTTGGAAGAAGGAATGCCAAATGTTTTTGTTTTGTTTTGTTTGGGGTTTTTTTGTGGGCTTACAGATTGAACCAGGACCTCACATGTGCCAGGCAAACTTTCTACAACTGAGGTACATCTCTAGCCCATATGTGTGTGTGTATTTGTAGGATCTTATAAGAGGTTTTTTTTTTTTTTTGGTTTTTTTTTTTTTTTTGAGACAGGATCTCACTATATAGTTGAGAAGACTGATCTGGAACTCACTGTGTATCCTAGGCTGGTCTTGAACTCACAGCGATCCTCCTGCCTCAGCCTCCCGAGTGCTGGGATTACAGGCATGCGCCACCACGCCCACCTGTAGGATCTTATAAAGTTACCCAGGCTAGTCTTGAATTTGAGATCTTCCTGCCTCAGTCTCCCAAGTAGCTAGGAATACAAGTGTGCACCACCATGCCCACCAGGTTTCTTGATGCATCTGTAGGTGAGATAGGATAAACCTATAGGAAAACACAGCCAGGCTGAATCATGCTGTGCCAAAGGACTGGGCATTTATCCCGCAGGTTGTGAAGAGTCAGGGGAGGCTTACAGATGAGGTAGTCATTATCAAGTTAGTAATAGTTTGGACAAGAAAGCATTCTTAGAAAATGAGGCCATCTGTGGCCCTGTCATAATAGAGTGGGTGAGTGAGTGGCCGGGACAGTGCATTTAGGCGTCAGAGACACAGTGATACTGGCACCATTTGTTTAAGTGATCGCCTAGAGACAGGGCTGTCAAGAGAAGGAACAGGCTTCAGCGGATGCATGAGTAGGAACTCTTTACTTGGGCCATGCTGGGTGTCAGCCCATGTGGGGAGCACAGAATGGAGGCTGCGGGGCTGTGGATCTGGGTGTGACATTGGCAGGGTGGCAGGGCCATGAGCCACAGGATGATGCGCCCACTCCAGGCGGGTGTGCACAGCTCCCAGCCGTTGCGGAGTCTGCAGTGTCAGTGATGGGGAGACTGACATGGATGACAGATCTCATTTTACTTTTTTTGCAAAACATTTATTGGTACATTTTAGATATACATCATGATCACATTATTATCATAGGGAATTTGGACCTGTACATGATATATCTTGCAGCTCTCATTGAAATAATTGCTTAAAAGAGCTGATTGCATGTGCAGTCGTGATTGAAGTAAGAACTGAATGCTGTAGAGCTGGGTGTGGTGGTACACACCTGTGACCCCAGCACTCAGGAGGCTGAGACAGGAGGACCACCGTGAGTTCAAGGGCGGCCTGGACTACACAGTGAAACCTGGTCTCAGTTAAATCTAATAATGTAATGGTCCTAGATGTTCCCTGCTTTTCTGGGCTTTATGATTTCGTTAATTTACTTAGCAGATCTCTGATTATTTATTCTGTGTAGATTGACCTCAGGATAGTATGGAAGAGACCAAAACTGATAGGTATAGTTCACAGTAGAAAGATGTGGCTAAATATATTCTGTATGTATTAGGCAAAAGAGAGAGTATTTCTGTTTAGAAGAAAAACAGACCATGGAAGAGGTTAAAGTTACCTAGATTCACTTGTCTGTTTACCCCTTTCCCAAATGGCTAATCTTTTTTGCTTTGTTTTGTTTTTTGAGACAGGGTCTCACTATATAGTTCAGGTTGGCCTTGAACTCACTTTGTAGCCCAGGCTGGCCTCAAACTCACTGTATTCCTCCTGCCTCAGCCTCCTGAGTGCTGGGATTACAGGCATGAGCCAGCATACCCAGCAAAATAGCTAATCTTATTGATTAGGATTCTAATACCTGGGGAATATGGTTTCCAGCGCTTTCTTTTCCTAAGAAATCTAAGTTTTGAAGATATTAAGTCCAGCCAGAATCAGAAAAAGTAGGTGTTTAAGGATAAAATTTAAACTGGCAATTTCATTCTATAATGAGACGTGAAAGTGAACTTTACTAGTTGGTTTTGTTGTGGTTGCTGTTTTTGTTCTGTTTTGTCTTGACTTGATCTTCTGACTGTTCGAAGGCCACCTCGTCTTCTGGACGCATTACAAGATCAAAGGCCAAGGACCAAATGGAACCAAGTAAGGTATGGTTGGCTGCTACACAACTGTTACTAAATAGCAAATTATGCTTCTTCTTCCTTAGAGGAATAAACTTATGTTTAATCAAACACAGTGACTGGGGCTGGGGAGTTAGCCTAGTGGTTCCAGCACCTGCCTTGCAACAAGCGTAAGGTCCTGACAAAACACAGTGACTGAGTCGCCATAACCAGAACAAAAGTGGTGGTTAGTGGTACGACGGTCGGACGGACGGGCAGGTTTGGGGAGGCACCGAGGACGTTTCCGCTGACGTCATCTCCTTCCCCACCCCCACCCCTCCGGTCCTCGCGACGCCTGTCCGGACCCTTGAGTCTCGGTGCAGCCTGCAGCCTGTGTGCGGGCCTCTTTCTGTTCGGGCGCTGCCGGTCACCCGCCTGCGTTTCAGCACGGTGGTGGTGGGCTCTTAGACACTTCAAGGAGTTCTAACTTCCTTCCCCGATGGGTTTCACGTGTTGGGCGGATCTGGAGTGACTTCCGTGTTCCTGGCACTTCCGTAGGCTCTGGGTTCCAGAAAGGAAAAAGGAAAAAAACAAACAATAAAAATAGAGAAAGAAACTAAATACCATTTAGCTCAGCGGTTTGGTGTCCTGCCTTACAAGCGCAAGGACCCGACTTCAATCCCCGGTACCAAAAAAAAAAAAAAAAGTATTAAATGTATACCACTCAGACTCTTTTCAGATGTTATGGAGGAGATGGCAAAGGGGTTGGGGGGTGCAGCAGGGGTAGGGCAGCCAGGGAAGGCCTTACTCGGAGGGATGGCGCCCCTGGCGGGGATGAGGGAGTGGATCATGGGAAAACTTTCTGCAGGAGAATCTTGCAGGCACATTTCAGAAGTCAAGCACAAGTGGGTCTGGCATGTTTAAAGAAGTGTGGAAGAGTGTGGACAGCGCTTTTTTCTTTTCTTTTTTGTTTGGGGAATCGAACTCGAGGCCTCATGCTTGCCAGTCAGGCACTGTGCCACTGAGTTATCCCTGGCCCATATCTTTTTTTTTTTTTTTTTTTTTTTGGTACTGGGTATTGAACTTGGGACCACCTGCTTGTGAGGCAGGCAGGGAACCACTGAGTTAAATCCCTGGCCCTCCATATTCTTAATGGTTTAGGTTACTAGCACTTTGTATAAGAGGTTGTAAGGAGATTTACACAATGGAAAACCTTTTCTGCATTTTCCTTGAGTTAGTGCATTTTGTCGTTGGATTCTTTATAATTGCCAGGATTCCGGTGAGGGATCATTCTCCAAACCAGAAATGGGGCGGTTTGATTCATGACGCGATTAAATCATGTAGCACCTCATCTCTTACACAGATTCCAACCAGGAGTGACATCAGAACAGCCCAACCTGGCGAAAGACAGGCCACCAGTAGGAGGGCACTGGACAGAGAAAACAGAGGTGGGAATGCTGGAGCTGCTGTTAGGGCCGCTGCCGCTGCGGTGAGGTGTCGCTCGTGACGAAGGACATTTGATTATTTTCCCACAGTTGTGACCCAAGCAGTGCCTGTGCCCACCCGGATGACCAGATCGGCAACTCAGGCCACACAGCAGGTCCCAAGAACACTCTCCGCTGCCCCAGTCAGAAAGCCAGCCACAAGAGCTGCTCTTGGTGAAGACTGATTGTTTTTCTTTGGGGTGCTGGGCTAGAATTGGTGCCTTTACACTTAAGTTACATCTCTGGTCCCTTTTTAAAATGTTTTTATTTTGAGGCAGGGTCTCCATTTATCACTAAATGGCCCAGGTGGGGCTTGAATTTATGATCCTCCTGCCTCAGCCTCCCAGAAGGCTGGAATAACAAGCGTGTGCCACCACACCCAGCTAAGAGCAATGGCTAAAAAGTGCTTTAATCCTTCAAGTTTTTCTATTTAATTTGTAAGATCAGCCTGTGCTTCTCTGAGAAAGATGGAAATGAAAAATTCTAACCTTGAGCTCCAATCTGTGCTGTGACAGTCAGCAAAGGGTGGACACTGGGTTGCTGACACCCCTGAATTAGCATAAGCAATGCCTCGAAGTGAAAAATCAATGGCCCCTAACATCTCAGTCCATCCATTAAGAAATTCTAGCTAGGCCTGGTGGCATGTGTCTGTAATCCCAGCACTCAGGAGGCTGAGGCAGGAGGATCACCACGAGTTCAAGGCCAGCCCGGGCTACATAGTAAGACCTTGTCTCAACACCGCCCCCCGCAAAAGAAAAGAAATTCAAAATCTTGGTCCAACCATCTGGTAAGAGTAGTGTACTCAACACTTCATATCAGTGGTGATAAGTAAGCAAAGGAACACAGGTCAAACCGTGAGCAGTAGGACCTCAGCTCTGTAAGGCATGGTGTGAGGTGGTGGACATAGAGAAAAGTTGGAGAAGCATATTCTGAAATGCCAACTCGGTGATGGAATTGAGGGTGTGTGTGTGTATGTGTGCACGCATGCGTGTGTGGTACTGGGGACGTGCTCTATACTAAGCCTCCCTCAACCCTTTTAGATTTTTTATTTTGAGACAGGTTATCACTAAATTGCCTGGGCTGGCCTTGAACTCACAGTTCTCCTGCCTCAGCCTCCTGAGTAGCTAGGACTATAGGCTTTCTGTGTTTTTCTAGCTATCTAGTAAATACGTATTCGGTATTCAGAGGAAAGAGGTAAGTCACTTTTATTTTTTGTTGTTGTTTTGAAAACAGCTGGCCTATAAAACTTTCGATAGTAAAAGTCCTTCAAGACATACATTCCTATTGTTGCTTTTCTCTCTTTTCCCAGAATTGCGTTTTGTATCTAGTCAAAACGGTTATCTTATTTCGTTTTTATTTTAGACAATGAACCAGAAAGAAAGGCACCAATTAAAGGAAGACCTGCCACAAAGATAGAAACGAAAGCTGACAAGGTAGAGTACAACATCCGCTCTGGAAACCTCACTGCTGCTTTCATAAAGTTGGAACTGAGGTGAAGCCACTCAGGAGCTGAAGCCCTGGAACTGGAAGGAAGCAGCAGGAAGATTTACTTTTGTTTCTCCAGATTCCTTAGTCTTATAGGTAGAGAAAGCATAATTTGGTTAACCAAGAGAAGATGGAGAATATAATAGAAACAACTTGGAGAAGCCGTTGTGTGAAAAGGAGGTACAGGACAGGACAGAGTAGGGGGAGACGTATTGACTTGGATTCCCTCATTTCTCTGCTCAGGATTAGCTGCGGAACTGGGCAAGTCACGTCATTGAGCCTGTGCTCTGCCTCTAGAGAATTCCTACAAAGAGGGGTTGCGAGAATTAAATAAGCTGAGGCTTCTGAGAGCATGGTGCCCAGTAAAGTCCTCCACGAAGAGCCCTGTGTTAGGCCCCAACCCTTGGTTTATCATCTGTGCTACGATTCCTCAGACTTGAAGAGGTGGAGCTCAAGAGTACGCAGTTCATCTGGGTTCTTACTAAAGTCAAGTGGGGCCCTGCACTGAGTGCCATCCGGATCAGCTGGGCCTCAGAGCGCTTCCCTGGGACTCAGTTTCCCCTCCAGATTGCCACTAGTTTTACTGGCCTTTGGGACCATGTTACCACCTAACCCCTTGTCCAGGTTGAAATACCTTATTTTGAGTATAGATCTTGTTGAAAGTCAGAAACCTAAAAAAAAAAAAAAAAAAAAATTTTTAAGACAGAAACTTAGAAACCTCTGAAACTTATGTTTAAATACCTACTATTGGGCTTTGGACGTAGCTCAGTGGTTCTGCTGCCTGCCTTGCAATGTAAGGATCTGAGTTTGGTCCCCAGTACCAAAAAAAATAAATGCCAAGTATTTGGTTTTGAGGCAGGGTCTTGCTATATGGTCTAGGCTGGACTCCCAACTCACAGCAGTTCTCCCGCCTCAGCCTCCCAAGGGCTAGGATGACAGACCTGCACCACCCTACTGGCTCTCCTTTGCTCTTCTTGCAGTGCTGGGGGTGGAACTCAAGCCTCGTACATACCAGGCATATGCTCCCCCCTGAGCCACATCCCCAGGCCCACGGTCACACTTCCGAGTCCGTGAAGACTGCCTGGCCGCATCCTTAGAAATTCTGACCCTGTTCTGTTTACTGATTTCTAGGTGGTTTCTTTTAAAGTCCATAGTGAAGAAAAGACTTCACAGACCAGCTCAACAAGTGGAACGGATCCAGATGAAGCCTTACCAAAAATGGAAAAGTTACCTAAGACAAATCCTGCAAAAACAAGAGGCAAGAATTCCTTCGCGCCTAGAGACTTCGTGTTCCAGCCCCTGAGTGGCGTGAAGACCTACCAAGTGACGCCCATGACGCCCCGGAGCGCCGAGGCCTTCCTGACGCCCTGCTACACCTGGGACCTGAAGCCACAGGGGTGGGGACACAGCCTTAGCCTTAACCGACAGCACAGCACAGGGACACAGGGACACAGGGAGGGCTGTCGCTACCTCGCTTCGAGATACAAAATCTTAACGAGTTCTTTGTGAAGAGGGGTCACAGATGCCTTTCTTAGATTTTTTTGTTTTTTAAGGAAAATTTTATTGAGAATAGCAATAGGGAATAAGAATAGAGAGTAGGAATAGCTCCTGAGGCAGGAGGGGTCCCGGATGGGTCGCCCACCTTTCTTAGACGTCAGTGAAATATGTCGATTAAAAATCATGAAAATTTGTACTTAGTTCTTCAAAGGCTCTAGTAACTTGTTGACAGTTTTTATATTTCCTAACGATTGCTCACTATTCTCACCATTCACTACGATTTTTACTTTTTGCTTTTAATAAGTGATTTAATTATAACATTTAGAAAAAAATTGGCATAAGAGTGTAGCTCAGGTTGGAGTATTTAGGGCTGAAATTTACTCTAGAAAATCTACCTCTAACCAAAAAGAAAAAAAAATTTTTTTTAACTTGCCGCATGTTAGGGAAGAGGGTGGAATCTTTCAAAGAAAAGGCCAGATCGACTGGCAACAGATACACTCAGAGTCCCCAGACATCTGCTTCAGACTCTGGATCACAGTACAGTTTATTAATAAACATGGGCAGTCTCATCACAAGTTTTTAAATTTTCCCCTCCAGAACAGAGTTTTTTGTTGATTGGTTGATTGGTTTTTGTTTTTGTTTTAAGAAACTTATCTATTTTATCCCAGATTTTAAAAAAGCAACACAATTTTGAAATCCTGCAAATAGATATATGGACTTCATGTTTCATGAAATCAGTTTTTGTCATTGTTTTTAGTGATAAGATCCAAGAAACAAGTAAAGAAATCTTGGCCTCAGAATGTAAAACTTACTCTACCAAGACACTTCAGCAAGAGTCAAGTAACTTACCATGTCCTCTGGATTCTGAACCAGTGTTCAAAGAAGGTACTGTATTTTAGTCAGAAATTTTGCTTACATTTCTGGATTATGATTTATCAGTGATTTGTTCAGAGCTAATTTTCACCATAGAGTTAGGAGGAGTGACGTTGGACTTAGATGGAATAAAAAGACTGTACTAGGTATAGTGGTGCACACCTGCAGTCCCAGTACTTAGGAGGCTGAGGCAGGAGGATCTCAAGTTCAGGGGGCCAGCCTTGGTTACTTACCAATTTTAAGGCCAGCCTGAGCTACACAGTGAGATCCTGTCTCAAAAAACCAAACTAAACAATACAGACTGAGAAGGCAGGGGCACTGAACGCAAGTTTGAGTAGATGAAGAACACTGAGAACCACATTGGAGTAGGTGTGGTGAGTGAAATGATTGAGGCAGGGGGCCGGGGATTTAGCTCAGTGGTGCTGCTGCCCGCCTTGCAAGCGCAAGGACCTGAGTTCGATCCCTGGTACCCCCCGCAAAAAAAAGATACAGTGTGATTGAGGCAGAAATAAAAAGGTAAAATTTTGGCTGTGGTGGCCTTCCTCACAATAGCCTGCCCCTGTGTCCTCTGTGTTCTTTATCTCGCTTTTCCTCCTCTACTCGTCCCAAGCTTGCCCTTTAGAGCCAGTTTATCCCTGACTCTTTTCAAATAAACTTTGACTCTGTTAAAAACAAACAAAAAACTTAGAATTTAACATGGAGAAAATGGAAGAATTTTTTTTAAAGGTCTTTGGGTGAGGGGTGTGAGGGGTGTTATTTTAAGAATTGCTATTTTGAAATTTACAAGTAATGTTTTCTTTAATTTCTAGAACGTGACTTGAACCAGAGTGAAGTTGCTACTAGAGACTGCAGTGTCCTGTCCGCCACGGAAGCCCTGCCTCCCACACCCGAGGCCCATGAGGGTCCCGTCCCTCAGCCGCAGCACGATGTGCTGTACTTCAGGTTCGTCTGTTCCCAGTCCGAGACTCATGTTCATGTCTAGGCATTTCAAGCCCCCGTTGGAATATTTAACTCCTGGGAATTAGCTCAGTGGTTCCACTGCCAGCCTTGATAGGAAAATAAAATTAACTTCAGCTGGGCGTGTTGACGCACGGAATCCCAGCTGTTCAAGGGGCTGAGGCCGAAGGACTGCCAACTTGCAGCCCGCCTGGAAAGGTTAAGGAGACGGCGTCTCCAAGACACAACAGAACGGCTGTTCTCAGTGGTGGAGCTTCAGCCGAGCACGCACAAGGCCCTAGGCTCAATCCCCAGAGCCACAGAACAACAGTAATGGGAGTAATAATAATTTTATGTATACACTTTGTTTTTGTATAAACATCTAATATAGTAGGGTAATGGGGGGAAACTGGCTGGGTGAATTTTACTTTTAAATTTTAATTATTCTCCCAATAGCTGGTACACTCATGTGGTTCTTACTTGAGAAGGTAAGAAAATATGCAGGTCAAGAATCCCCTTCGCAGTGCTGGAGCCTCCACGCATCCCCACCGCCGCTGTGAAGGGTCTGGCCGCTCACGCACTAGGCCTCTTCCACTCGCTGCAGGCGCAGCTCTCTCAAGCTGGGCGTCACTCACATTTGAGATCGCCTACTCTTTGTGGGGATTTCTCCCTGCACACTGTAGGACACCGCGGCTTCTGTAGCCAGAGTGATGATCCAGATGTCTCAGACCATCGCAGAGGGCAACCTGGGGAGCAGAACTGACGCCAGTTGCTTTAGACCCACGGAGGCTCATCTTTAAGTTTGAGCCCGGCTGCTTCAGTCCCAGCCCTAAGAGTTGTTAACTTCGCTGGCCGTGGGCAGTGGGGCTGAGCGCCGTCCACGGACACCTCAGGACTCTAAAGCAGGCGAGGGTGAGGGCTGTGGTCATCCTCTGCCGAGCCAGACCAAGAGGAAACGTTAGTGTGGGAGGGAAGCGTGAACTCTGGCAGACTAGTGCTGTGCACCTTACACTTTAAGGGGTGTGTGTGTGTGTGTGTGTGTGTGTGTGATGTGTCGTCGAGCTAACGCTGATTCTCATCACACTGAAATTGGGTGTCATCGTTTTAGAAATATCCTCCGTTCAGAAACTGAGAAGTTAACTCTGAACTGCCTGGCCTGGGACAGGAAGCTTGAGCTGGACCTCCCCGACAACGGTGAGAGAGCCATGCTGCCCTGACGTCTTGGCTCTGTCCTTTCCCTGTGATTACATTCACCCGAAACGTGAAAATCTAGCACTGCCAGCTTTATAGTTTCGCTGCTCAAAACAGCAAGAATTTTTCATTTCTCAACATATGTTCCCTGCTGTCACTGCAAAAGTGGTGTAAGACTCTTACTATTAGATTTTTTTAATATGACTTTAGGGGAGCTCAGATATAGAGGCCAGTCAGGTATTTTCCCTTACAAAAGTTCCCAGAGCCAAGGAGTTGAGGTCTCTTTTACACTGAGACTTTTCTGAAGTAACTTGTTTGATGATAACTTAAAAAAGGTCACTTAAGAGTTAAGTTTTTAAGGACTCCCAAAGTGAAGCTTAAAATAGTCATTTTGAGAAAGTTGCATGTATCAGTTTGTATTGTGAGTTAAATTACTACACTGTGTGCTATTTTAGTGTTTTGGGAAAATGGAGAAGAAAGTCTGTTGTTCAGCATAAAAAAATGTGACTTTATGTGTGACATCAAGTCCTGGTATTTAATTATACAAAAATTTTTTTGAATGAAGGAAAATTACCAAAATATTTAGGTAAAGATTTTCTGAAAAGTTTAATCTTATTTGGCAAAGTTGATTTTAAAAAATCATGTGTGCCTCTGTCAGTGTGGAGTTCTCCTCAGATGCTGTGTGCAGCCTGGTATTTGAGGTTGGATTCTCGTAAAATACAGGCCCTTGAGTGCTCTCATTCGTAGGCAGCCTCTGATTGGGAGCCACATCCATCGCTAACTGGGCAGTGAGGCTAAGTTAACGGGTGGTATTTGTATGACAAAGTTTTGCGGTAGTAGAGTGTTTTGCCTTAAAGATTCAGTTGTGTAAGTTACTGGGGATAGAGTCTTATGGTTCCATCCTTTAACTGGGAAACACCTCCCTCCTCTGTAGCTAAAGACCTCATCCGCACGGCCGTCGGCCAGACGCGACTGCTCATGAAGGAAAGGTTCAGACAGTTTGAAGGGCTGGTGGACGACTGTGAATACAAGCGCGGGGAGAAGGAGACCACCTGCACAGACCTGGACGGGTTTTGGGATATGGTTAGCTTTCAGGTAGGTGGCCAAGTATTTTGACGATAGTAACTTGATTTTTTTTAATGGAGTAACAGTAGTTGCTTAGGTACCTGTGATGTTATGTGAGCTGTTAAAGAGTTTGTATGAGCTGCGCTATCAGTGTTTGATGCCCGTGTTCTCCCTTGTGCTGTTGGCACTTCCTGTGTGGTTGGGGACTGGGACTGTGGTCCCCTCCTGAATAGGCCTTCGCGGTTCCACACCAGAGGAGAGAGCAGCGCTGAGTTGAATCAGCAGTGGTTGAGCCCCTGTCCTGCACCGAACCTTGGATCAGGAGTTGATGAAAGGCGCTTTCTGCGTCACAGACGGGCTGGGACCCAGTGACCGCTTAGAGACAGTGGATAGTTCAGTTGGAAGCAGAAAGTTCCACAGTAGGGCTGGGTTTTAGCTCAGTGGTGCTGTTGCCTGCCTTGCAAGCACAAGGTCCTGAGTTCGATCCCTGGTATCAAAAAAAAAAAAAACAAAGAAAGAAAGAAAGTCCCATGGTAGAGGAAATTCTTAGTCAGCAAGTGGTTGAGCTTACTTGAGAAATGTGCACATAAAATACCATTTCTCAAGCTAACAGCCGATGCTGGACATGGGAAGGACGTGTTTTCTATTTACCTATTTTGGTGACAATGAGGAATGAACCCAGGCCCGTGCATTTAAGCGCAGACCCCACCCCTGAGCCACCCTCACCAGCCGCAAAGGAGGCTTTAGGACAAAAAGACAGAGACCAGAGCAAACCTTTAGGAAAACAGCTACAGTGTGCCTCAAGTTACAACCAGCATGACATACGAACAACTTGGGTTAATTAGGTGAATGGAAGATTCCTCTGCCTCTTGTTATCTATGGGCATGTACCCAGGTAAACATCCAGATCTCAGCTGTACTGATTTACAACCAGCCTTCAGGAACCCATCAAGTTCGTAAGTCAAGGGTCTAGTCAGTGGGGCCGTGTAAGGAGAACAGAACTTTTAAATGCAAGTATTAAGTTTCTCACAGACAGCAGGCATTTCCTGTCAAGCAGGAATATTCAAAAAAAAGTCACAGAACCACAGAGAGCCTGTGGGGTGGGGAAATAAGAGCTGAGGTTAGAATGTAGACTGAGCCGGGTGTGGTGGCGCACGCCTGTAATCCCAGCACTCAGGAGGCTGGGGCAGGAGGATCGCTGTGATTTCGAGACCAGCCTGGGCTACACAGTGAGTTCCAGGTCAGTCTCAACTACGTAGTGAGAACCTGTCTCAAAAAAAAGAAAGAAAGAAAGACTGGCAGCAAGGAGATCTCCCAGGAAGAGGGCTGAGAGCGGTGGGGAATGGAAGAACAGAGAGGCGAGTTAAGCAGAGCAGTCCAAGACCCTAGGCCTCCAGCATAGAAGTGTAGGGAGATGTAGCAGGAACCAAATGGTCCATGACATCGTTTAAAAATTTTCTTCCAGCACAGAAGGGCCTAACCCTAGACTGAAGGGGCACCTTCACATGGTACCTAACACATGGGTCAGAGCAGACCTGGGCATCGAGCATTGCAGTGTGTGGTCATGGAGCTCTTGGGAAGGGGAGGAGGCCTGGGAACGTCCAGAGTGGAACCCAGCTCCACACACAGCACCCAGAGCCGGGGTAGCCCTGGCCTCAGTGGCTCACTGGTGGCTTTGAACTCCCTGTGATCCTCCTGCCTCACTCAGCCTACTGTGCACTGGAATCAGGTATGCACTACCACAGCCAGCTCACTGGTGATCTTAAAACCTGAAAGAACAGTGCCCTGGAAAATCTGAGGGAAAACAATTTCTGGCCTGGAGTTCTGTCCCCAGTCGAGTGTAAGGCTGCAAAGGCATTTTTCAGACCAGCTTTCTCCTCTTCTGCCCACTTTCTCAGGAAACTGAGAAAAACTCACAGAAAGAGTTGGCTAAGACGAGCAGAGGAGGGTATGCCCGAGCCCCAGAAGGGCCTGAGGAACTGTGGCCAGTGGCACAGGAAGAAGGAATTTTAAGTAATCTACTTATGTAGAGGCACAGGCCTATAATCCCAGCACTCGGGAGGCTGAGGCAGAAGGAGCTCTGCGTGTTCAGAGCCAGCCTGGGCTCCAAGGCAAGGCCTAACCAGCTGCGTGGCAAGCTTGAGAAGCAGTGGCTCAGATTGGGGACTGAGAGGTCCAGGGCTCTGGGAAAATGAATGGAAGGAAGGACGGAAGGACGGACAGACATACAGACAGAAAGACAGACCTGGTTGGGTTATTTTTCATTGTGCCAAGAGGAAATTCTGGGGTTGTAGCATGATTTTAATCTTATTAGAAGCATAAATGTTTTTCACTGGTGAAATTCAGTTTATGAAATTTTTCTTTTTTTTTTTTTTCCTTGGGAATCAAACTCAGGGCCTCACGATTATCAGGCAGGCTCTGTGCTGTTGATCTACATTCCCAGCCCTGAAATCTTTTTATTTTTCTTTTTTTTGGGGGGGTGGTACCAGGGATCAAACTCAGGTCCTTGTGCTTGCAAGGCAGATGGCGGCACCGCTGAGCTAAACCCCCAGCCCTGGTTTTGATTTTTTTGAGACAGGTTCTCACTATGTCCAGGCTAGCCTCAAACTCATAGCAATCATCCCGCCTCAGCCTCCCAACAAAGATTTTCTTCTTTGCTTTTTTCTAAAAGTGTTATGGTTTTAGCTGTTCCAACTAGATCTACAATCCAGTTGGTTAGTTTCTGCATGTGAAATTGAGCAGGCCTAACTATTCTTCTGCGGGTGGATATCCACTTGACCAGCCCTGTTGAAGAATACCCTTTCCACATTGAATCCTCTCGGCACCTTTGTTGAAAATGAGCTGCTCAGAGTTGCTGAGTCCTGAGTCTGACCTTTTCATGTTTTGAGGGCGGAAGTTGCGAGGATGTGTGTACATGCATGGCAGGGCGTGGAGAGATTAGCAGGTTGTTGGCAGCAGTCATCTTCTGGAGAGCCTGGCAGTGCCGGGGGGCACCCTGGTTTCCATCCTACTGGGAAGCTCACTGCTTGAATCTTTTCAATGAGAAGCCACTGCCTGGGAGAAAAATATTTGCAAAAGACATTGCTGATAAAAGACTATTGTCCCAAACATATGAAAACTCAAACCCAGTGTCAGGGAGCTGAGCAGCTGGCTGGGGCACAGCTCAGTGGCAGCCGATGCCTGCCCAGTACATGAGGGGCCCAGGCTCCACTTCCATGGCTGTGAAGAAAAAAGGAAAGAAATGAACAACTAGCTTAAGAAATGAGCAAAAGTCCCAAACAGATGCCTCCCAGAGAGGAGCGAGACGGGGAGCCGCCCGTGAAGCAACACCGACACCTTGTGTCCTGCAGTGGGATTCACAGCAACAGACCTGAGCACCAGTCTCGCCTGTCAGTGCTGCTTGGACGCAGTGCCTTCGGGGAAGCCCGGGTGTGGACTGGCAGGGAGGCCTGGTGACTGCTGGCCAAGGTGCAGAACATACATGCACTCTGGAAGGCAGCGTGGCTGCGCCTCACAGAACCAAACGCACTCTTAACATGTGGTCCTGCAGCTCCAGCCTGTGGCATTTATCCAAATGAGTTTAGAACGTCCGTCCGTTCCAAACTTTGCATGCATTGTTCATAACTTGAAAGAAACAGAGGGATTAATCCCAGCACTCGGGAGGTTGAGGCAGGAGGATCGCTGAGAGTTCAAGACCAGCCTGGGCTACACAGTGAGTTCCAGAGCAGCCTGAATTACATAGTGAGACCCTGTCTCAAAAAACCTCTCAACTAGCTGCCTATAATTGGGAGGCTAAATCAGGAGGCTCTCAAATTCAAGGCCAGCCTGAGCTACATAGTAAGTTCAGGGCCACCCTGAGCTGCAAAGTGAGACCCTGTCACACAAAAAAACACCCAGGGCCAGGAATATAGCTCAGTTGTGCTGCACCTGCCTGGCAAGCACAAGGTCCTGAGTTCAATCCCCGTTACCAAAAGTAGGGGGGTCTCAATTTGAGCACTAAAGACTCATTTTAATTTTAATAACTCACCATTTATGAGTTACCATGCTCAATTTTTTTTGGAGCTTCAGTTCACTAGTTTGTACTAATATGGCAGCATTAACCTGATGAACTTGGGCTTTATATATTAACAGATAGAAGATGTAAATAACAAATTCATCAATCTGACGAAACTTGAGGAATCTCAATGGCAAAACAGTAACACAAGCAAAAAAGTCTTACGGGTAAGTTGTGGGTTTTATATCCAGATATCTAATAGAGACTTCTGATTGGTTTTTAAGTTTTAAAAACATTTAGCTTCTGAATTCTTGTTTTACAAAGTAGGTTTCATATATTCCAGAATTCTGCTTGGCTTTAAAGAAAGCACACCAAAAAAATGAAACAAAAAGAAAATGAACACAAAATTTAGGTTGTTTGTTGCTGGGGAGAAGACAGTCAGGGCCAGGATTGAACAGGACACTCGAAGGTCACACCAGCGTCGGCGTTGTTCATGGAGCTGCTTGTGGACTTGGTTGTAATAACGCTGGTAGTTGTTGAGTCGATCGTTTATGTGATGCTGAGAATGTGTCAGACATTAGTGCGCTGCTTTGGCACATTAACTCACGTGACCGCACAGCAGTCCTGCGAGCCTGGGCCCCGAAACCAAGGCCTGGAAAGGTCAGGTCATTTCCCAAAGGTGGAGCAGGGGACTTCGGGCCAGACCTTCCCGTTCCGGAGTCTGTGTTCTTCTCCAGTAGACTGTTAGCTGTGATGGGTTTTATTTATTTACTCTCTGTTTTGCTTGTTTATTAGTGCCTGTGTGCAATACATAATGATTACCTTTGTCTTGTGGGGTTGGTGCGCGTACACAGCACACCTCAATACCTTTTCATCCCCTTTCCCTCGCCTCCACCATCTCTTGGTCTCCTTTCCATTTGAAAAAGATCTCCCTACTTCCAAGTAGCTCTTTATATTTTGGGTTTCTCATATAAGAAAAGCCACGATGTTTAAGCTTGTGTGTCTGATTTATTTCACTTAAAATTATGGTTTCGAGGTGCATCCATTTTCCTGCAGATGACAAGCTTGTCCCTTGTGGCAGAGTAGCGCCGGTTGAGTATAAATGCCACGTTTTCGCATCCGTTCATCATTTGATGGGCGCACAGGCTGCTTCCAAGATTGAGCCATTGTGGGCTGTGCTGCTGTAAACACCACTGTAATAGGGTGACTTTCACTCTCTGGGGGCATTCCTGGGAGGGGAATAGCCGGGTCACCTGGAACCTCTAGTTTTAGTTTTTTGAGGCAACTCTATATTGATCCCCACGGTGGTTGTGCTAGTTCACACTCCCATCAACAGTGGAGAAGGGTCCCTTTTCCCCACGGCCTCGCCAGCATTTGTTATTTGATTTCTTGATGATGGCATTTCTTTCTAGAGGGAGGTGAAATGCCAGTTCTGTTTTAATTTGCATTTTTCTAGGGGCCAACAATGTGGAATGTTTTTTCATGTGTTTATTGGCCATTTGTGCTTCTGAGAAGTACAAGAGAAAAAAGGGCTATGGGCCAGGGATTTAGCTCAGTGGTTCTGGTGCCTGCCTCACCAGCACAAGGACCTTAGTTGAATCCCCAGTACCAAAGAAAAAAGGAGCTGCGGATGTAGCTCTGCAAAGGCCCTGGGTTCAATGCCCAGTTACCTCCCTTACATAATAACAATATTATTATAATTATTATTTATTAATGAAGTCTCATAAGAAGGACACTGAAGGCAGCAACTAAATGATACAAGTGTCAAGTCTGTTAAGCAGAGATCAGTGTTCTGTTTCTTACTGAGAAGTATTAAATCAGCGCGGGTACTGGCTGTTCTCAGGCGATAGTCTTGCAGTTCCGCATGACACCAGCAGGTGGCACTCTGACTATTTTGTAGGCTGTTGGTTTAATTTTTAGTTTGGTTTGCTTGGGGTGGGGGTGTTGTTTCTTTGAGGTGTTGAGGATGAAACCCAGAGGCTTGCACTGCCAGGCAATTGCACCACCACCAAACTACATCCCTAACCCTTACAGGCTACTATGAAGGGAAGCAAACAAGTGAAACCGAATTGGTCTCTTCTGTGCACCATGACAGTGAGTCCTGTCTCTCACTGCCCCTCATTGCAGCAGCCAGCGTCTCTGGCTTTCCTGCCCTCCCTCAGCCCGTGGCTATTTAAGTGTCCTCTCTTCGTTTACAATGAATCCCACCCACCCGACCTGGGTGTCCACGCCCCCCCACCCCCGCGATCTGTGCTCCCCAAGCTGCCCTCTCCTCCTCCCCATCAGACCAGCTTCCTGACCCCAAGATTTCCACTCTGCATGGCCCCTGGCCCCTCACTGGGGTCACTCACCTCACCTGCAGAGCAGCTGCCGGGGGATTTTCATCCGCGAGACGCTGGGGTTTCTAACCCTGCATTTGTGTAATCTCACCCCACTCGCTATTGAATACAGTTGCTTTTTCCACTATCGATTTTAGCTCCAGGCTCCATACACGCTTGGCAAGCTGTCTGCCACTGCATCCCCAGCCCGTCCTGTGCAGTTTTACCCACTTTCTGATGACCCTCAAACCTTTCTGTCAAACCACTTTCCTGCTTTCACAAGTTCCTTCGTGCTCAAGGGTGCCTCAGAAATCAGTGTGTCCCAGACCTAAGTCAGTCGCACACCACGAGTCTCGCAGCTCAGAGCTGGTTACCATCCCTGATCTGTCCTCTCGCCGCCTCCCTCCTGGGCATCCAGCCCAGCGGGTCCTCACGGGCCCAGGGCGGTGGCGATGTTGCCCAGTCCCCTCCCTGGCCCCGGCTGTGCTCTGCCGACCTCTGACCTTCACCTTGTCACCCCGGGATTCTCACCACTCCCTGGGGACCTGACAAACGGATGGAGAATTTGTGATGTATTTATAGATGCTTTCTCAGTATCAGCATCATTTGTGTGTGTGTTTCTTTTGTTTTGTTTTTGTCTTTGGTACTGGGGATTGAACTCAGGATCCTGCGCTTGGGAGGCAGGCGGCGGCACCACTGAGCTGAGTCCCCAGCCCTCGACATCTTCATCGACGACGTGGTAGACTGTTTTTCCCCGAGGCGGTAGCCAGCCTTAGTAAACACTGGCTTTTCTCTTCACAGAAGAAACCTGCCCACAGCGCAGCGAGCAAACCGAGGGAGGATGACAGCGGCCGTGCAGCCGCCAAGAGCCGGCTGGCGGCGATCAAGAGTGCAATGCGAGAGAGGCTGAGGCGGCAGGAGGAGGCCGGGGCTGGAGGGGCCCCGGACACAATTGTGTTTGATGCCGGGTTCTTCCGCGTGGAGAGCCCCGCCAAGCCCCTCTCAGGTCAGCGTCCTCACCAGGGTGTCTGGTGGGGCCCCGGTGAGGGAGTGGCGGGGACGGCACATGTCCGTGTGGTCTCTCCGCCCCTGTCCCACTCCGATCGGAGTCTTCTGCAGCTCCGCACCCTCTCTCTAAACACGGTTTCCTCACCTTTCACGCTGGCAACCGTGTCTGCTCCGCAAGTCTCCTTCTCAGCCGCCAAATGTTCCACTGTCCAACACCCGCCTGTTCCCTTCACTGTCTGTCTGTCTTGTCTGTGCATCTGGGTAGCGCTGCTGTCTTGGCCCGGTGTGGCTGCCTTCCGTTTCTGCTCTTGGGTTCCGTCCCATGTCAGATGTCCTCAGGCATCTGATCTTCACTGCTTCTCCAGTAAGATAGGCACTGAGCCCCTTTCTGTGGCCGAGGTGGCCGGGCCGTCCCCCGGGAACCTGCACAACACTGCATTTAAGTCTCAGAGGCTACCAGGTTCCCGGGGAGAAGGATCCTCATCTGTGCAGAGGGTGTTGAAAAATATGGTATGTGTTTAAATTTCTACAACTCCGTGACAGTGTAAAGGCAGCGTTGGCTCGAGTCTCCCACAGAGTATTTCCCCTGCTCCTGGCACACTCATATCCCCATCCTTGCCCGTTTCTGAAGCAGTTCCGGAAGTCCTCTGTTGTGAGCGTCTTTAGTGGCACTGTCATGGTTGATGTACTGAATAAATTCAAAATTCCCTTTCATTGTGATCTTGGGGAAGAGCGGGAAGTGTCACGGTGCCAGGCTGGGTGAGTGACACTGATGAGGTGACAGCGTCGCGTTTTCCAAGCCGCCTTTCCACTGGATGACACTCAGCTGTAGCGATTCTGGTACTTTTCATCACACTGTGTAAAGACACTCGAGAGGACTTGTTAAACTTAGAAAATTGCAGGAACGGTGGGATAAGGGAGTGTGAAGGGGTAGAGACCCATGGCACTGTGTTTTTTACTGTAATCGAATTTTAAATGTAAACATTCACTGTATTTTTCATATCCCTTTGTGTTCTGGCTGCCAGGAGTTCGGGAACCACAAAGGGAGGAAGAAAGTTGAGCATCTCAAAAGCTCCTTTGTAGATGTTCACTTGCTCTTAACATTTTCCATAAGGCATCCTCAACTCTGCCAGATCCCCTAAGCCAGAGGCTCTGTTTCTCCTTTTTCTGGAAACAAACCTGGTTCTCAGGGGTGGAAAAGTGGGTGTTGTCAGCTGGTTTGCTACATAACACAGCACTCACCAGGCGGCTTCTGGAACTTTCTCACTGCTGTTGTCTCTGCGTTAGCTTCCTTCATCCTTGTGGAGTTCGCCTGTTAGGGTTATTTCTGTTGTGTTACTTGGAAGCTGACTCTAACGAGGGCTCAATGCTGTCTTTAACAGAAAGCCCTAGACATTTGGTTCTAACAAAGAAACTAGTTAGGGGGTTTGCCGCACCTCCCTGGAATAGAGAGCAGTGAATGACCAACTGCTCTCTCTTCCAGAGCCATCCTGTGAACGTCTGTCACAAAGGCTTGGGGCGCCCCAGTCTGTCACCAGAACTGTGCCTGAGCACAGGGCTGACCTGGGCCTTCGGAGACAGATGACCGCACCCGAGAAGCCCAGCCCCTGGAGCGCCCATTGTGGACATGGTGATAAGAAGACTCTGTTTTCAAATACTCCTGAGAGCAGGTTATTTCTCTAACATGTTCTTAAGAGTTTAACATATGTGCATATGAAACATCACTTCGGGTTAAGCTGGTGCAGTGTGCAGACGTACTTTACTTCCATTTCAGTGAGGAAACTGAGGGTTAACATTTCAGATGGGAGCTGGGCATCTGGTCCCATAGGCCCAGCTACTTAGGAGGCTGAGGCAAGGGGGTTGCTTGAGCTTGCAAGTTGGAGACCATCATGGGCAACATAGCAAGGACCCCGCCTCGAAAAAATAAAGTCCCTAGACGGGGTGGAGGGCTCCAGCTTCATGACTGGCTGAGGAACTTGTGGGCCAGAGTTCTCCTCAGATGAGCCCCTGCCCCAGGTTTGTGGCCACCCTTGGGTGAAGTAGCCAGGTCCTCTCAGCTGCTAATGACCTGGGACAGCATGGATAATCGGTCATCAGCCATCCCAAGAAATGGGGGCAGGAGGGCACCCCTGGGGTCCTGTGCATTACAGGGAAGTGCACGAGGGTTTATTATTCCAGCATAGTTCCTGGGGTCAGTTTTCAAGCTGCTAATATACATCACAAGTATTTAGCCTTTATGGGAGCAAGAATCGAATCCTTTAGATGTTAAATCTGTGGGTTATAAAATGCCAATTTATTACTTTTCTCAAATGCCAGTGAGTTTATTACAGTATAGATCTTGCCGTTTATTGTCTTGTACTGGGAATTGCATTTGGGTCATATTACAAATGCTTTCTCACAAATGCTTATTGATTGCCACAAATCGTCCTGAAAGAGCAGCTCCGCTCTGATGGAGGAAGGTGAAGCCAGATGCTAGGAAAAGACTGCTTTAAAGAAACAACTTTGGGGAGGTTGAAACATTCCCAGTGCAAGGCGAACTTCGGACTAACCAGTCCCGAACCCACGCAGGCCTGACACTTCCTGGGGCGGCTGTGGCCTGCAGGCCGGGCCTTGGCCGGCTCCACTGTCGACAGCTCCCTACCCTCCCTGAGTCTTGCACAAGTTGGAGGCGGCAGTGTGCTGAGTAAAATGCTTCTCCTGTTGCAGGAACAGCACGGCAGAAGGCGCCCAGTGTTCCGGGTCACAGGATTTATTCGACGTGAACCCCGTGAGTCCTGTGTCAGCCTGGTAGACAGCCGCTGTACCCCGCTTCTGTCGCTGTCCCTGGCAGCTCCACGACAGTAGCCAGGACTGACCCAGAAACGCGAATCACTCCACAGAATCAGGCTTCCTGGCGCACCTGTGTTTGCTTCTGCTCACGCAGAGACTGCTGGGTCCGCCAGCCCAGGCCTCTGTGTTGTACCTGGCTGCTCTGGCATTGCCATGGGACAGTCGGGGGCTGGGACAGAGGTCAGGGCTCATCAGATCTATAGTATCCCCGTCTGGTTCTTCACGGAGAATGTTTGCCCTTCTCAGATTAAGTTGGAAACCAGAGTGCAGGTGCTTGCTGAAAAGATTCCCTTCATCCTGTTACCCTATCCAAGGTCACTGTTACGAAGTAAGACCATAGGGTTTACAGGGCAGTATTCTTTAGCCAAGTTCAGA